CCGACCGGGAGCTTGGCCCTTGCGAGGGGCTCCAACGTGGACTAGGGGGAAGCTTGTGCGCTTCTGGATACCTCGGTAAAAATACCAGTCGTCAACGGGAGTTTGTATATCTCTACCTTGCTCTTTAGCTTCCGCATTTACATTGTTTACATTACTCCTTTTGCGGTAGAGATAGCAATACACTAGCAAAACCGTAGTTGCATATTTATATAGTTTATCTTTTACATAGGTTTTGCTAAGGTTGGAAAAGAGACCATAGTTTAGAATTAGAATTTTAAGTTGCCTAATTCACCCCCCCTCTTAGGCGTCATGGTCCCCTTCAATGAGGACAAGCACGCCCCGTCCGTAGGACCCTAGGTGCACCGTGCGCCCCATCTGCCAGCTCCCCTTCCCCCAACGCCTGGGCTTTGCCCATGACTCTCTAAACATACCTTTGAAACATGAAACACTTGCAAAATGAAACACTTGAATGCGACATAAGTCTGAAGCAGATGAAACATCTGTAATATATACTTGCAACATCTGTGTGAAACATATGCAACATCCAGATAGAACACTTGCAATTTGCAACATGAAAACACTTATTGCAACATAAGACTGAGCTAAAACATTTCGATCATACTCTTGCCACATATGTGAAACATGTGCAACATGCAGGTAAAAAATGCTTGCAACATATGTCTGAAACAAATAAAACATTTTGAACAAACGCTTGCAACATGCCTCTGATACACTTGCAGCATATGCAACATCCCGATCTACTTTTGCAATATCCATGTGAAACATTTGCAACATTCCTCTAATAACATCTGAAAACACTTACATTTGCAACATAGGGGAGGGAGAGGCCAGGGCCTGTTGATTCCATCCTCGGAGTGCGAGCCGACGCTAAGCAGCATTGCGTGAGCACCACCAACACGGGTCGCGCTTCGTGGGTGCCCTTGGCTCGATGGGGACCGACCTGAGGTGCGCGACAGCACCACCAGCGTCGGCAGAGGCGGGCGGCGCTGCACCTGCCCGATCTTGTCTGCATCGCTAGATGCCATCGCCAAGGGAGGATACAGACCGAGCTTTGTGGAGAGGAAGAAAGGCGGAGACCGATTAGTTGCCACTCTTGGCCCGGGCATGGTCGAAGAGGGACGGACGCGATCGGGCGGGCGCGACAAACCGAAGCTGTGCGATGGTTGGTGAACGGCGATGGAGAGGGAGGAAGGTGGCCAGCGGCGCTCGGACGAGGTTGAGATGGAGGATGGTGGCCAGCCAGCCGCGGTCGAGACCGCTGCGGGAGCGCGGTCACGGTGGAGCATGGAATTGGAATTCGGTGGCGAGTGGGGATTGGGGAATGATGTTTCTAGAGACCCGTGAGTGAAGAAGACAGTCGAATGTTTTTTCTTTTTTATCAAACAACCGATCGGAGGAGGCATCCGGGATAGTTGGGCCGTTCGTAGGGATAGTTGGGCCGTTCGTACCGTCGCGATCCACGGCAATATGGGGCGTCCGGACAATCGGACGCCCGGACCCCAGCATTTCCGTTACATCATCAAAGCGGAGAGTCATGGTGGAGCTGAGATAAATACTTTTTTTAAAAAGAGAATATTAGAAATTTAGAATGAAATGCAATATGTAGACTCTAAATTCTGTTGGATATACTTCTGTCACTACCCCGCCCGGCCACCCCACACGAAAAGCTACTTGTGCACCTACATGTAGCTCTCTTAATCCACCTAAGCCACTTGCAAGTTTGTTGCAACCAATCACCTTCCATCATACCCACCTGATACAAACCTGAATGCACACACCTAACAAATAGGCCTATGCCTCTCGCCATCAAATCTATGGCATGCTGCTACTCCAATGAAATTGCTTTCACACCTAATAAACAGAGCAAGAAAACGCATTAATTCTTAATCCTTACATATAAGAAAAAAATACCAGAGAATAGTATACCTAAGCACATATATATAAATTGTAATCATTTGTAATTTTGGATAGGCTCTATTAGTTGTTGGTAATTGAGAGACCATTATACTTTGCTTTTTACATGCCATATTAGTTTTGTCTTAAGTCAAATATTTCTATCTTTAACCATCAGTGTTTTTAATATATAGGTTAACAAAATAAGGTTTATGTTTTTAGATTCACTATAAGAATTCATATTATGTGGTTCATATGTTGTGAAACTACATGATTTTTTTGAAATTGATGATCAGAGTTAGGAATATTGTTCTTAGGACAAACCTAATATGACATGTAAACAACGAAAGTAGTTTCAGTAGCATGGCTTAGTAATTAAAAATGTAACATAACCAGGCAAAAACCTTAGCATAAATTAAGCTTAGGCCTTTTTATTGTTGCTTTCATAGATTTAACAAAATATGTTCAAGTCTATTGAAAAGATAAAGCTAAATGGATCGTGTGTCCTCTCTATTACCATCTTCTTGTCACATTGTTTTTATCAATTGTCAGAGCGAAGGTAATTAAAGAGAAAGAGCACAATGATGGATTGTGTAGTCTCTGGGCCTGTTCGCTGGTTGGTGTGTGTTTGGTTTAGGTCGGTGGTCTTTGGTTTTTTTGAGAGAGGAAAACATCTTTGCTGGTTTGTTGGTTTGAAATACCGAAACTAATGTTGAACAGAGCTATCTAGCTTTTTATAGGTCAAAACGTGCCTTAACTTATTATCATTATAAAAATCTGCTCCCCTCCATCATCCAAAGCAAGCACCTAACATTGGGGCCTCTAGCGTTTTTGTGTGGCCTACCAAAACATGCTAGGAAACACTTTATCTTTTGCCCCTTACTTGTTGAGAACTAACAAACATAACGATCCATATTTAGGCGTGAGAAACACAGAATATGTATTGATGAATCAATTACTAAAGTTTCTTTTAGATTAAATTCAACCCACATAAATATTATTGTAACCATTCAAACAACTAGGTTTCACTAAAGCCACAAAATTTGATGTGATTGTTGTAATATGTAAATCAGTGAAAAAGTTTAAGCAAATTAGAGGAGTACCTACCGAGGAGTACCTACCTTGTGGTGCATAGACTTATATCGTAGAATGTATATATAGTAAAATTTTATTTTAAATTAAAATAATTGAATTTATATTTTTAGGGATGCATTTGCACCCTCTACCTACCACCTAATATCATGGAATATATATATATATATATATATATATATATATATATATATATATATATATAGTATATAAAAATTTTACAATCATTGATTTTAGGTTTTTCAGGGATGAATTTGCATCCCTACCTACCATCTAATTTTGCCCCAGTTGTAAATCATCCATCACCATTTCGCCGGTTAACTTGTCAATGTCAAAGGTAACAACGATGAAATCTGATTATCGAATACCTGAGGGTGTGCAGCGCAAAAGTTCCACCCACTAAAATAAGACGCCGGGAGCCAACCATGGGAGTTCCTCCGTGGTCCGTGCCTTCTTCCCCTCCTGCGGCTCTGGGCAGCGAGCAGTGGTGGCCGCGGGATCCCCCGCCTCCTCCTCCCGGATCCGGCAACGAAGGTGCGTGTCCTTCGCCAAATCTGGCCCCGTGCCTTGGCCAGCTCCCGATTCCCACTCCCCGTTGCCGCCATTCGGGCGATCCGGTAGAAATTTGTTCCGAAATTCTAGGCGCAGAGTCCGGCGGTTCGGGGTCTAACTAGGACGGCCTGCCTGATGCGGCGGCACTGTGCGCGGCTTCTCGCTGTTGTGAGTCGGGCGAATGGGGTTAGGATCTTCGCCTGAATTTGCTGCTCGAGGTCTACGGAATGTGTCGGCGTTCGAGCCTCGCCTCGCCTCGCCTCGTTGTTGCTGCCTTCACGCTGTGATCTGGGCTCGCAGTGCGCGGATTCAGATCCCAACGTGAAGATTTGGCGGGGATCTGTTGCTCGCTTTGCCATAGTTACCTGTCGTGGGTTCGGGATTAGGCTCAGAGATTCGCTGAATCTGTTCCTGAATTGTTGGTTGCACGCCGCAAATTTAGTTTCGTGTAAGGTTTTCTCATGTCGGTGTGACGATGACGAATGGAATCTATGTTGGAACAGTGCCAGTTGCCCAATCGGCCTTGCGTGTGTCACTATAGATGGGAAGTTCTATATGCTATAATTTGTTGTTTGCTGCCGCTATCAGTGACTTATCCATCAGGAGGGGGTTGAGGTGGATACATCAATAGGCTGTACCTGACCAATTTCTTTAGCCGCGTAGCACTTTTCTCTTAACCAATAATTGAGCAAATCTTGTCACACTAGTTTATTATTCCTTGTATGTGGTTCAACAACATTGCTTGAAAAGGAAGCAAACAAAAGTATCAAACCGCAGTTAAGTAATGGTTTCAGTTTTATGGACTCAATCAGAATCATACACCTTAGTAATTTCTCTTTTTTCGGGGTGGAGGCTAGGGGGTGCGGTTGAGAGTATGGTGGTTAATCAGCAGTTAAAATCTTCCCTTATATGTGCCTACTCATATACGCCGTCCGTCCCAAAAATGATGCAATTCTGGAATAGTGCTATGTTTTAGTATGTCAAGGGGGACCAAGTTTATATAAAAAAATACTAATATTTACCTTACAAAATAGGTACCATTAATTTCGTCATGAAACATACTTTTATATAATATATATATTTGATGTCATAAGCATTAATATTTGTATCTATATATTTAGCCAAAACTTTAGGTACTTCAATCGAGAATACACCTAGAATTGCATTCTCTTTGGGACGAAGGTACTAAATCACTATTGGTGTAATGTGCTATTGCCGACCTCCCTTAGCTTAGGAAATCGGGTCACTAGATGCTGACAACAGAACAGCTTTAAGGTAAAGTGTTTGTAGGGACAAATAAAAGAGCACCAGTGAAACTGCTTTGGTTGTTTTAAGCATGGATGCTGTCTTTGGAACTTTATTATTGTGTTGCATGCTGCTTGAGCTTTTTGGTCCCAACATTTGAAACTGATTTTGCAGATTAATTGAAAAGCTTCGGTAAGATGGGTCGTGGTGTTAGCAGTGGGGGTGGTCAGAGTTCCTTGGGCTATCTCTTTGGCAGTGACGAAGCTCCAAAACCAGCTGAGAAGCCTGCACCCCAAAAACCAACTCCTCCATCCTCTGCAGAGAGACTAAAAGATATCCCTGCTGGTATTCAAAGTAGTAAATCAAACAATTACATAAGAGCTGAAGGGCAGAACTGTGGAAATTTCCTTACGGTCAGTATCCATTGACACTTAACATTTTGATTATGCTATTTTGGAGCACCAATTGAGTGCTGTGCAGGTGAAGCAAGAAAAAGTTTCTATTTGCTCTTGCTCATAGTTTGTTCATAGCCTATGATCCAGAAGTACTTGTTTAGGTTTTGCTGCAAGAAGCACCCTTCATAATATGATTACGGTGCTGTGTTCTACATTTACATTTATACGAAACATGGTTACATTGACAAGTTCTCTCTACTGATCTCACCATTTTGTACTTTTATGTTTGGTCCTTTTTCTGTGTTAGATGGAATCTTAGTAATCATCGACAGTTAATAAGAGCCTGATATTTGACATTATAGCAATAATGGTTGTTAGTCCTAGTATGCCATTAATACCTGCCAGAATAAGATCCGTTGTCTGTTGGTATGTGTTGACAAGAGTTCAACTTGTGGGTTTACTTATGCCTTGCAGTAATCCAAAACTTTCAAATTTCTGCACCAGTAAATTTCAATGTCACAGGCTGATGCAATTTGCATTAATATATCTACTTGGTTATTTGTCCTTAGAATATCCACATGGATAGCCCCTTCGATTCTTTTTGTTCTTTGCTTATGCACTTCTACTCTCATAGTGAATAGTCTGGTATATGACAACAGAATCTTCATGGCCATTTATCCAAACAGACTGTTTGTTAACGTTCTTAGTTTGTGGCTGAAAATGCACAAAGGCAGTTGCAAAATCTCTACCTTGAAATATTTGTGCATTTGCTGACATTAGCTGTTGTGCGATGCTGCAGGACCGTCCGTCAACCAAGGTGCAAGCTGCTCCAGGTGGTGGCTCTTCACTCGGTTATCTTTTCAGTGGCAGCAAGGATGGCAAGTGATGTACGCCCACTGTTAGTTTTCGCCATGATCATGGGAGAAGGCTCCTGCTTAAGAAAAACAAAAAGAAAAAGAAAAAGAAGCTTGTATTCCCATGAGTAACTATCAAACTGCTCATGGTAGTATCTGTGTTGTTGGGATTGCTGCTTGTATGTGTGCGTGTGTTCGTGTGTGCCGTGTGTTGATTCACAGCTACTAGTACTAAGAGTTTCTATCCCTGTTGATGGAATTGGGGCGTTATGCCAATGTTGACATTATGTATAAACCTGTTCAAGTTGTGGTGTGTTGGATATATTTGTTGTTTAATGCACATTGGTGTACGAAAAATCGCCCAAAGGCTCCGTTCGGCTTGCTGAATCTTGGCTGAAACTGGCTGAATTGCTATGAGAGAAAAATACTGTTCCGGCAGAAAAAACAAGTCGAACCAGCCGAATATGGGATAAGCTAAACAGGGCCAAAGTTCTATTCAATTTCTGTTCCTTTCTGTTACTGTTTTCATCGAAGAGGTGGTTTGCACAAAATATTTTTCCATAAGAATGGAATCACGAGTAGACATCTTAGTTTTAAGACCTGCCGCTTGAAAGTTCTGTTCAATTTCAGAGTCCACTGCTCACCTGTCACCTGTGGGCTGTGGCTGCTGGCCCGATAGGTGACGTTGGGCTATTGAGATTGGTCTGGGATAGAGTTTTTGCATACAGTAGTTACCGAAGGTAAAGTGCTGATACAAGGTAGGAGTATTTCTCTAAATTCGAAAACGAGCTGAAAAGGACAAATTTGTTTTTGGATTTTTGTACCGTTTCTGTTTTCATTTTTCCGGTTACCGATTCTGTTAATATATGGCAAAAAATTGGCAGAACCTAAAAAATGATTCCACGCAGTCAGGTTTCTGTTTTTGTTTGTTTTCAGCCCTATGAGTAATGACACAGGATCGAGATTAGACCGCTTGTCTATCTGGAATATTTCCAAGATTGAGAAGGTGTTTGGGGTTGGAAGCAAGCATCAGGTTGGATTCAGATGGAAGAGTGCTTGGGGAAAAATACAAGTGTTTACAAGTTCTTCAATGATCCTGTCCCTCTCGCCTATCTGATACATATATTCAGAGTCTCTCTCTATCGATCCTAGCTGTTGGACCACACTGGGCCGAAGACATGTAAACTGGGCTTCCGGGGACAGCGCACTCCTGGCTCGACGTCCCGGCTTGTACTGGACCTCCTTCTTCCTCGAGTCGACGCTCTCCTGGGCTCGACGAGTCGGGCAGCCCATGATGTTCACGGCCCGGGTTAGCAGTGGTGCTAACACTCCCTCCTCCTTGAGCAGCGGCATGTCCCCATGCCGGCGCCTGGGGAAACTGCTCTCGTAGATGATCAGCAGCTTCTCAGGTAGCCAAAGAAACCAGCATATGCGTCCACTTGACGAAGACCCACTCCACGGGGTGATCTCCAGATGTCCACCTGCGCTGCGAGATTTTCTCTGGAACCTGGAACATCACAAGGTCAGAAGGGAGCGTGGTGCTCACCTGATTGCCACCGGCGGAATGCTTCAACTACGACACATGAAAGATTGGGTGAACCGAAGCAGCTGGAGGTAAATCCAATTCGTAAGTGTTGATGGTAGTTAACAACAATTATAAACCGTCAATAAAACATGTATAAGGGCACAAATGAGATCATCAACAAAGGTCTAGGGGTTTAAACTAACAAATTCCACGAGTTTTGGTAAATCTGTGATTTCTGCAAGGTTTATCCAGAAAATCGTCAAGATAGACCTACATATCAGATTTAATTGCGCTTATCCACCGCGAAACGGACACTAAAAGGTTCTCACTAGAGGACACCATGCCGAGGCAAAAAGGCAGAGGCTACCAGGTGGGGCCGGCCCCACCTGCAGGCCACTCGGCCCCTGGGTCCACCCTTCAGCCTCCGTGTTGCAATGTCGGTTCTCCACTGCCTCCTAGGTTGCATATACGTCGTTCCTTAAGTCGGCTTGATCCAAGGCTTCACGTTGGACGCTCCGGCCTATATATATCAGCCCCTGCCCCCCTAAAGGCATCAAGTCATTTGAGAAGATAGAAACCCTAATCATCCTCAAAGCTCCATCATATTCTAGGACATAGCTAGTTAGGCTAGGTCTAGAGGGAGGCAAGCAAACTTCGCTTGGATTTCCGATTGTGTCAAGAGCATGGTTCGGTATAATCTTTGTACCCCCTCTCTGTTTTGTATCTCCATTACTTTTATATGCTTGTTACAATTGCTATGATAATATTAGTATTCATCTTATTCATGTTCTTCGTTATAATGTTCATTGTCTACTTTGATTATATACCTAGTATAGTTGGATTATCATCATATTCGTGCATATGTTCATATAGTGCTCACCCTAAGGATCCATGGGTGGGTGGTCGGACATTGTGTAAGCGTGGTGCTTATACGTTGTTTACCTGCGGATACACCATATATTCCGGGTCATATGGTAGATTGCGGATGTGACACTCCCGTTGAGTCCTTTGTAGTCCACTCCCCGATGTAGGTAGCACATAGGATCTGGTTACGAAGGGGGACAAGCTCTGTTCTTAATCTCCCTTAGTAATATCCCTTATGTGTAGATATGAAGATGATCTTAGCAATGACTATTAGGTATAATTGCATTAATCAATATATGCTTTGACTTGTAATTAAGAATGACTTAGGAATTATTCCTCTAATATTCTACCAAACCATGCTAATACCATAGAAAGGAGTACTTTGAGTGATTTATCATTATCATTGATCAATACTTAATATATATATATATATATATTTATTCTATGACTTACCCCTGTTATGAGTAAAATATTGGTTATGGTTTATGTCTCCATCAATAGTATAAGTTATCAATACTTGTCCATGCTAGACCTTCCCTGTAGTAAAAATATAAATAATGATACCTAGAATACTCTCGAGTGAAGTGCTACAATGGTATATTATCTGTGCACTTACATATCCTTTTCATTCATATATCTTTATATTTTTTCAAGTCACATGAAACAATAAAGAACTGTAGTAATACTAAGTAGTACCAACAAGCATCTGTAGCACTATCATTAGGGATGACAACCTAGTACAAGTAATGCTAAGAGATATAGGTATACAATAGGTGACTACTAAAACAAGTGACAAGTTAATAAATACCAACAGTAAGCGACGGCCCCGATGCGTTCCAAGATATGATATGGCCCGAAGAACTTGAAGGAGAGTTTGTGATGGGCACGGCGAGCCACCGAAGGAGAGTTTGTGATGGGCACGGCGAGCCACCGATGCTTGCACATAGGGTTGAAGTTTGAGAAAAACCAGGTCGCCAACATTGAATGAACGTTCTGACCTGTGCTTGTTGGCCTGCCGGTGCATACGTTGTTAAGCTCGCTGGAGATGGAGGCGCACGGCGCACCAGGCTGTGCATAAGTTCACGATCCTCCAACCACTGTTGCAATTCTGGAACCGGAGCAGCAGCAACAACATCGATTCCCAGCAGACGGGGAGGGTACCCGTAGAGGACTTCAAAGGGGGTTCGTCCCAGCACCGAGTGGGTGCTGGTATTGTACCAGAACTGAGCGAGAGAAAGCCAATGGAACCATCTGGCAGGACAGGCATGGACAAAGCACCAGAGGAAGGTTTCCAGGCACTGATTGACCCGTTCAGTCTGTCCATCCGTTTGCGGTTGGTAAGAAGAGTTCATCCGTAGTTGAATACCAGCCATCTGAAATAAAAGTTGCCATAGCCGACTAGTAAAGATCCGATCCCGATCAGATATGATCGATTTAGGTAACCCGTGTAGCCTGTAAAGATGGTCCATAAACAACCGAGCCACTGTAGCAGCAGTAAATAGGTGTTTCAGGGGAACAAAGTGTGCAAAGTTGGTGTACTTGTCAACCATCACAAGTATAGCATTGGCATTCCTAGACAATGGAAGTCCCTCAATGAAGTCCATGGAAATGATCTCCCAAGCAGTGGACGGCACTGGCAAAGGCTGTAATAACCCGAGGTAACGAGCTCTGTCAGGCTTGGCTTGGAGATAAACTGCACAATTCTGAACAAACTATAAGATATCCTTGCGCATGCCAGGCCAGAAAAAACAGACTGTGGACTTTCTGCAAGGTAGCGGGCGCGCCGGAGTGGCCACCGATGGGGCTGTCATGGAGCGCTGACATCACCTGCTTCTGTAATGAGGAATTGGACCCTAGCCAAATGCGTTGCTTGTAACGGATGATTCCCTGCTGCAAGGTAAAAGGAGGCCGGGCCGAGGCATCCACGACCAACTGAGATAGCAAGGAAGAAGCTTCTAAATCAGAATCATACCACTCTTGAAGTGAGGACAACCACGGAATGGAAGTAGTAGATAGAGCCATCAGGGACTCAGAGTGTTGTCGGCGCGAGAGAGCGTCTGCTACCCCATTATCCACACCACGACGATACACCACTTTGTAGCGGAGGCCTAATAGCTTGTAGAAGACTTTCTGTTGCCAAGGCGTGTGAAGGCGCTGTTCGTTGAGATGGACTAAGCTTTTCTGGTCGGTGTGAATGACAAATTCACTCTGCATCAAATAGTGCCGCCAAGAATCCACGGCCATCAAGATTGCCAAGTATTCTTTTTCATAAGTGGAGAGGCTCTGATTACGCGGACTGAGAGACTTGCTGATGAAGGCTAATGGGTGACCATTTTGCTGCAAAATGGCACCAACTCCAGAACCAGAAGCATCGGTCTCAATGTGGAAGGGTACAGAGAAGTCCAAGAGAGCCAGGACTGGTGCTGACGACAGAGCCATCTTCAATGTCTGAAACACAGAGTGATGAACCGAAGTCCAAATGAACAGTGTATCCTTCTTGAGGAGATCCGTCAAAGGCCGAGCTATAATGCCAAAATGTCGAACTAATTTGCGGTAATAACCGGCTAAGCCCAGAAATCCTCGAAGAGCGCGAACGTTGGTTGGAGCGGGCCACTCTGTGATAGCCTTGACTTTTGCTGGGTCAGTAGCAACCCCTGCCTCACTGATGATATGGCGGAGGTAGGAAATAGAGCGTTGCGCAAACGTACACTTGGATAGCTTGACTTTCCACTGATCAGCCGATAACCATGAAAAAACCAGTGCTAAATGCTCCAAATGATCCTCAAAAGTTCTGTTGTAAACCAATATATCATCGAAGAACACAATCACGAAGCGGCGAAGGCCCGGAGCCAGAGTAGTGTTCATAGGTGCACCCGTCAGTCCAAAAGCCATCACATTGAATTCATATTGCCCCAAATGTGTTTGAAATGCAGTCTTGAAGGATTTGCCAGGCTGCATAAGGATCTGATGGAAACCGGCACGGAGATCCAGCTTCGAAAACCAACTAGAATGAGCGAGCTCGTCCATGAGCTGATCAAACACCGGCACTAGAAACTTAGATTTAGCTATTAGCGCCAGTGGCGGATTCAAGGGGGGGGGGCTCGAGCCCCCCTACCGATACCGGAGCCCTAGAGCGCCCAGGCAAAGTTCTATCGTGTAGGTGGGGCTGAGACTTAAGATCGAGCAGCAGTCAGAGGTATGTTGCTGTCGCACTTTTGTTCAGCCCCCCCCTAAAATTTTTCTTGGATCTACCACTGGTTAGCGCATTCAGCTGCCGAAAGTCTACGTAGAAACGATAGGACCCATCTTTCTTCTTGACCAAGAGTACCGGGGAGGAGAAGGAGCTTGTGCTCGGCTGAATGATACCCTGATCCAGCATCTCCTTCACTTGCTTTTCGATTTCATCTTTTAAATTAGGCGGGTAGCGGTAGGGTCGCACAAACACCAGTTGTGCTCCAGGCAGCAAGGGTATGATTGCAACTCCGTGATGGAGGCAATGAAGTAGGCTACTCAAACAGTTGTGCACAAGAGTCTACCAGGTGCTGAATTTGAGGATGTAGAGCAACCAGAGGCGCAGCTGATGCACTCTCGGCCTCGGCAGAGTACAACTAAAGACGGACAGAGTTTGGCTCAACTGCATCAAGGCCCTGCAAGACTGTCCAGTTGCCGTGGTAAGGGATAGCGATTCATTTCTGCTCCCAATGAATCTGCATGGGGCTAAAAGCCTGAAGCCAATCCATCCCGACGATAGCATCAAAGGCAGACAGATCCAGTACCCTGAAATCAGAGCAAAACTGACATGCACCCACTGACCATGGAACCGACCGCAAAGAACCTGGGCTGTGCAAGAACCCCCTCCAGCAATCTGAACTTGAGCACGCTGAGGAACAGGTGGAAACTGAGGAAGTTGAGCAGCTATGGCCATACTGACAAAAGATGTTGAACTGCCCGAGTCATGCAATAGTACTGCAGGAATACCGGCTATGGAGCCCTGAAAGCGTATAGTACGTGAAGATGGAGAACCACATGATGCTGCCTTGGACAGAGCTAGACACAACTGCTCATCCGGACCAGAGGAATTAGCAGCAGAAGACTGGCCATCTTCATCAGGAAAGGACTCCCAAAGAATTTCCACGGCATGTAGCACCTCTGGGGAACACTTGTGGTCTTTAGACCATTTCATACCACACTTGAAGCACAAGCCCAGAGCGCGCCTGTAAGATTTGATGGCTGCCAGCTTAGAATCGGAGGCCGGCAATGTTGCTGGAGCTTGTGAAACGATCTTGTCTTGGCGAGTTGGTGGTAGAGGTAGAGGCAATGCTGTGCGCGGAATGGCAGCAGCCTTAGTTGACGGGAACCAATCACCAGGACGTGGACTCCATGGCACAGACGCCGAACCCGCCTCCTCCTGCAACATCGCAACGGTACAAGCAGTATCCAAATCTTTGGGATGCAGTACTAGCACAATTGCTTTAATGTCGGCACGATGGCCATCAATGAAACGCATGGTATAGAACATAGGATCAGTTGATGTGAGTAAGCTTTTAATTGATCCACTAACTCAGTAAATTGCTTGACATAGTCGGCTACCAAGGTTGTCTGTTTTGCATGGAAAAGTTGGCGCATGAGCAGTTCCTTTTGATCACGATCGAAACGATCATGGAGGAGACGGCAAAACCCTAGCCAGTCAGAGAAATCTAGCTCGGGTTCGATGAATTGAAACCAACGAGCGACAGCTTTGTCGAGGTGTTGCTTAGCTACCTGAATCCACACAGATGAAGGCACATTATACATCTCAAAGTAATCTGTGCAAAGTGAACGCCAGTGGCGTGGGTTGTCGCCATCAAAGCAAGGGAAGGACAACTTAGGGAGTCGACCTGTGGCTGTTGGAGCAGTGTAGTTAGCGGCAACGGCTTGTCCAGGAGGTATTGGTGGTGGCATAGGAGGTGGTGGCACGGCTTGTCCAGGAGGTATGGGTGGTGGCATAGGAGGCGGAGGAAGGACGTGCGGCGGGGTACTCAGGTTAGGGTGCGGTGGCGGGGGAGGCGGGGGAAAAACGAAACCGGGAGGATCGGCGGGAGGAGGAGTGGTGAAAGGCTTACCCATGGCTGGGACGTGCGTTCAGGTCGTGACGACCCCGAAACTCAAATCCCGTGTAGTCGATTCAACGCCGGGCCCCTTGGGCAGTGTGTTGGCGCCGGTAGCAGAGACCGTGGCAGCCGGAGATGGGTGGGGAAGGAGACCGCTGCGATGCGGCATTTTGTCGAACACCACAAGGTCGCACTTGGAGTCGATCTTCTCGACGCGCAGCCAGACATCATCCAAGACCCCCTCCATGTCCGGGCGCCACGCCGCGAACTCAGTCGTCGCCTTCTCGAGCGCCGCCACCCGCGCGTCGCGGTCGTCAGTCATGTCGGCGACGCGGAGGGACTCGAATTCGTTGATGCGGTTGGTGTACTCGGTGTCGCGGTCGACGTAGCTAGCTTCGAGGGAGGACAGGCGCTGCTCCATGGAAGCCGCGACGTGGTCGATGCCGAAGGACTCCAAACCAGCGAGACGCTGCTCCAGAGCGGCGGCGGTGGTGGCTGCCGCTGAGGTGGCCGCCGCCAGCGCGTAGAAGCGCGAGTCGACGACGGCGTCACGATCCGCTGAGGCTTGGTCCCTATATGCAAAGCGGCGGTCCAGATCGTCGAACCTGGAGTTCATTGTGTCGAGGATGAGCTGTAGTGCAGGATCCATGGCACCGAGACGGCGTTGGAGGCGGGTGAAGTGGTGATGATTTGGGTAGGGTTCTAGGATCGATCGAATCCGATACCAATTGTTAGCAACAAGGGGATTGGGGATCAGATGAACTGGAATTTGGGGTTGGAAGCAAGCATCAGGTTGGATTCAGACAGAAGAGTGCTTGGGGAAAAATACAAGTGTTTACAAGTTCTTCAGTGACTAGTTTTTCGGGCGCGTCCATGCGCGCGGTCTACTGACCACACGTATTTTTTAGAAAAAAAAAATATAATCAAAGTTGGGCTGTATTTTGATTTGAGAAAAATCTGATGATGTTTTCGTAAAAAACGGTGAGAGTGTCTAGGAGCGCGAGTTGATTTTCGATAAAGTGGAGGTCTTTTTTGCAAACAAACCAGTACCCATCCGGTCTGGACTGAGCGTTGATTTGGAAATAATACGAGGCGTTTTTTGTAAAAAATTCTGAGAGGACGTCTAGAGCGCGGGTTGATTTCTGAAAACTTAAAGGGGTTTTTCGTAAAACGACCGCGGCTCGCCCGATCTGGGCCGTCCGCGCGGCCGATCGAACGGCCGCGAAAAGCCGGCGACGTGGCCACCCTGAGGCCGCGCCGTGGCCACACCAAATCATATCTTTAGATCCTGTCTCTCTCGCCTATCTGATACATATATTCAGAGTCTCTCTGTGCCAATCCTAGCTGTTGGACCACACTGGGCCGAAGACACGTGAACTGGGCTTCCGGGGACGGTGCACTCCTGGGCTCAACGTCCTGGCTTGTACTAGACCTCCTTCTTCCTCGAGTCGGCGCTCTCCTGGGCTCGACGACTCGGGCAGCCCATGATGTTCACGGCCTGGGCTAGCAGTGGTGCTAACAGAAGGCTGCGAAACGGCTGCAGACGGTTGAGATGGGAACACATGTTACATGTAGCAACACCATAACGGCTTTTAGGGATAAATGATTTTTTAAACAGCTCGTTTGTGAACTAAAAATCACCAGTACTTTTGTCAGCCAATTTTTTTCTTCTAAAATGCTAAACAGTCAAAACATACTACTTCGCCAATATTCGGATAAAACATCCATCTAAATGGATAAATGGCTAATTAAACAAAATTGACACAACACTGTCATTTTGTTCTTAAAAAACCACTGCATTATCTTTTTAAACGAACTGTTGCATTGCGCACTGAGATGTTCAAATAGCACTATATATTTGTTTTAGAAAATTTGTCCCTGTAACAGCAATTGGTTTCATATTTATTGATTTATTATTATTTTGATATGCTTCATATTTATTTGTTTATTATTACATAGATTAATGGATACATCTAAGTTTTTGTAAATTGGTATTATCAATGAACTAGGATGATTTATGGATTTGAATGGCAATTGTGTAGTTAAATCGTATTTGCCAACCCGGCAACTCCTTTTCTTGTTCTAAATCACCTTTTCGCTTTCCGCTTGAACATTAACGTTTCTCTTTGTCTTTTCATGAATGACCAAATCATGTCTTTCCAGCATTTTCCTATAATTAAGGCCAGTTTCAGTGGATTTTCATCTGAGTTTCATTTGCATTTAGTACTGTAATACATCAACAAATTTGATGACTTTGGCAAGTTAATTAGAGAGTTTCATAGAGTTTATCTGGATAAAACTTGTTATCATAATAACTGTGATAGTCTTGATAACAACGCCATGAGTTAAAACTCACCACTAAGACTAGCCTAAGCCTAACACTCTAAAATCCTGCAGCAACGCGGGGTATATATATATATATATATCCGCTAGTTAATTAATTTATATATGACCTTTATTTGTGCTGCTAGTGCATTTCACTAATTACCGACTGCACCTCCAACTTGTACTGGAGGCTGTCGGCAAGTACTTGTAGCGGGAGATTACTAGGACTAGCAAAAATGACCGTGCGTCGCTACGAGAAGTATAGTTTATAGTCCAGTCATTTGGACGATTGAAGTTCAGAAGATTTGTTCAACAATCGCGTCATATATTCTCATTCATCTTGGAATCAAACTCTATAACATGTTCTGACACGCTCTACTTGAATTCATATAGTAAAGGATGCTTGAAGGTTTATCCAATGATGGGGTCATGTATTTCAATTTGTCTTGTGATTGAACTCCCCACCTTGACACAGCACTCTAACTCATAAAAGTATGGGAGAGAACAAATGATAACAAAAACACTAATATTTACTCAAAATTTATTATAACCTTAATTTTCATACTATCTAAGAGTTGGTACAGTTAAATATCGAGTTCTGTGACTTACTATGAGGACCATTAAAATCTGTAATTCATCTTATTAAGCCCAAACATATTTACTTGTAAATATATCCTAACCTTAATCCATACTATCCATGTGCTAGTATAGTTAAATACCGAGTTTTGTGACTTACTTTGAGGACCCATAAAAATTTATAATTCATCTTATTAAAAATAATAAGAGTTTAGTTATTGAAGTGTCCAGGTAGAGGCAGCCTCTAAGCGCGCTCCACCGCCAGGCATGTCTCCACCATGCCACCACTGCTATAAGCACATTACCCATGCGACGCTTTCTACTAGGGCCCGGCCTCATGGCCCACTGCAGGAGGCGCGGTGTAGCGGGTAGGCACCTCTCTCCTCACGGTCATGAGGTGGTGAGACAATGTCGTCCACTTGTTGATTTTGGTCTCTCTTCGTGGGGTGCTGCACCGTGACTCCGGTCGGTGGGGGAGGCGTGTACGAACAGCGCAGGCGGCAAATCCATGGGCAGGATGTGTGAATCCAAAGTACGCGAAGCGTTGGAATTGTCAGCCATCCATTGAGCTTGTTCGTTGACCACATCGACCGACGTAGTTCTCGCTGTACAGAAGCCAATGGCAAGTTCGCATGGCTTAGTTCATCTACTTCATCTGGAACTTGTAGACAAGCAATCTTGTTCTGTTTGTTTTTGTTTTTGTTTTTGTTTTTGTTTTTTGTTTTTGTTTTTGTTTAGAGACATTCATTGGTGTAGAGATTTATACAGCTGTCATACTACGTTTATTTGACAGATTTCTTTCTTCCCTTTTCTTTACTTCCCTCTTTTTTACGGGTTAGCTTCAATGAGCTGCAATTGGACTCCATATTGAACACCCTTCGGACAAAAAGAAAAAACAAAAAAGGAAAACTAATAAACCGGGTAAAATAAAGAAACTCCTAACAATAATATATATGTATCAAAATAGGTTTAGAAAGGGAGGGATACATAGATAAAGATTTCTTTTGGCAACTCCGAATAGGACTTTAACTCAAGGCAATCGAAAACCTTGTGGGCCCATATATATTTATGCATGATGTGGACGGATGGCTCATTGAAAAAGAAAAGAAAATCAGGAAATTTGAAAAAGGACACGGAGGAAATTTGAAAAAGGACACGGACGATGGACGGTGTGGTCGACCAAAACGGGAAAAGATTTCTATTCTCTAATTTTTCTATTTAGATAAGGATTCCTATTCATATTACTCGGGATCAGAGAGATTTAATTGGATTAGAATTCTTATATACTGACTCCCTTAAGTAGTCTGCATTGTTATATAAAGAGAAGAACTATATTCATATTCACAAAGGTAGTTAAGGGAGAGCCGAACGAAAAAAATAGGTAAAGAGAAATTTTGCCTCTTTAATATTAGGTATAGATTTAGGCACCATAGTAGGAGTAGTTGCAAAAGAGAGCTGAGATTGGTTTGTTTGCTGTCTTGGTGACCGAATTTGTCGCGCTCTCATCCATCCGCCTTCACCACTTGTGAAACATTTGATGTGCAGATGGTTCACATGGAAATTCTCTGCACAGCCTCCAGTAGTATTTTCACTTTAATTTCTTGCTCCAATACCAATCGTCTATGTGGAATATTTCAAAGATCGAGAAAGGCTGCAGCTGTCACACAGTAGATAGTGGTTCAGCTGGATATAGATGTATGTTCTTTGACGCTACTTCACCAGTACTTTTCAATGAACGAATAAAGGCTGTGGCTGTCACACAATAGATAGTGGTTCAGATGGATACAAATGTATGTTCTTTAGCACTACTTCAGCAGTACTTTTCAACGAATGAACAATGTTTTTCTCTCACAACAAATCAGCATAAGCCAAAATTTAGCAAAACAAATAGGGTAGCTGAAGTTTACGTTGCTAGCTGAGCTTACTTTAAGTAGCAATGGGGTGCATTATTGTCTATTGAGATACCCTATGCGGCTCTTTTAGAAGTCTACGCCTTGTTCATTTAGGCTTGTTGGGTTTATAAGTCATGGCTGAAAGTACTGTTGGCTGGTTTGGTGTGAGAGAGAAATACTGTTCGTTGACTGATAAGGCATGACTTATAAGCCAAATATACAAGCCCATCGTCGTAAAATCAAGTTGATCTATCCATATACACTTTTCCTGCCTCTCAGTCGCCTGACTGTCACTAGTAGAACCGACCTTCTGTTTTTACCTTTAGTCCCAGTTTAGAGTTGGACCCGAGGCTAATAAAGGTCCATTTTGTACTAGGATGTTCACGCGATCTGTCAACCTGACTATTCAGGAAACCTGCTAGTAGTAGTCACGTTTGATAACATGCAAAAAATACTAATAATATTTATAAATTGTCCTCTTATTTGTTAATTCGTGTCATAATATATAATATTTTTGTCCTTGTCTAACTATTTATTAATTGTTTCAATTGTAAATTATTAATTGTTTTTGTGCCAACACTGATCTGATTTTTGTCTTTGTGTAACTATAAAAACAATTGTAATTTGTTATTTGTTATTGTGCCAATACAAATATATTTTTGTTCTTGTCTGACTATAGAAACAATTGTAATTTGTTAATTATTTTTGTGCCAACTAACCCAAGAAGGAGGATGGCCAAAGAAAAATGAATACATGCACTAATAATTCAATGACCCTGTGTCGCCTGAGAAGAAGAGATATTTCAGGACCCCCCCCCCCCCCAAATCATCAAGTACTGAACAGAGCCAAGGACGGG